TTTTTTGTTTTTTTTTTTTTTTTTTTTTTAACTGGCTCAAAACGACGTCGTTTTGAGGCCAGGTCATTTAAAAAAAATTTGACTGAGCCTTTGCCAAACGACGTCGTTTGGCAAGGCAGTTTTTTAAAAAAATTACGCACAGAGCGCGCACGCAAGGCGCAGCGCAACTGCGCAGCTGTCTTCCTCTTCTCCTGGGACTTTCATCGAGCAGATGGCGTGCATCCAAGGGGGCTTCCAGCAGCTGTCCAAGGGGGCTTCAATGGAGTCCCAGGCCATTTTTCCAACCTTCCAAGGGGTCGTCCGACCCCTGTTGTCCCAACGTGGATCCGCCACTGGTTGAATGCTTCTTCAGCAACGAAAACGCCTCTATTTTTAGAGTGTAATGAGTTGGCGGTGAATCTGAAAATGGTCTCGAAACCCCTACAATGCAACATTAAACATTAATTAATTAATGGCAACAACACTAGAGTTGTATATAAGAGCATCTAAAGGAGATGTCACATATAAAATGTTAAATTTGAATTTGATGGCTTATGTGGCAATTTTGACACTTACGAAAAAAATATATTAACTCCACCCGTATTGCCAAATATTTTATTATTTTATTATATTTTTAAAAGCACGGTACATATGATGCATACAGTTTTTAAAGAGAGTAAATGATAGTAGGGTCTATGGCTGAAAATATATTAAAAAAATATTTGACACCATCAAGCTTTTTGATATGTTATTTTTGACATATATGTCCCAAGTCTTCAAATCCATGTAGGATTTGACTACTCGGTTGGAGTAACTTCAATCTTTATTTTTATCAGTTTATGTCTACGTGATAATTTGGCATATCGGCTGAAGATGCTTTAAGGGACTTTTCAATACAAACCCAATTCCGGATGAAAATCTTAGGTAAACCCACCTATTTGAATTGATGACAGCCCAATTTGCATTTACTACTTATTTTTCTTGACTATTTTGCCCTTGAAGGTAAATAATGGAAACAAATTAAGGGCTCGTTTGGGATTGCTTATTTAGAAAGCACATATGCTCATACTCACAAATCATATCCCTCCTTGTTAGGTAGACTACCTCGACACTCAAACCTATTTGGTAGGTAGTTAACATAAACCTTTTTTACCTATGTACATAATAGAAAGGAAAAAAAAAAAAAAAAAAGGAAGAAACATAAACTGCTCCTACATACAAGGTAAATAAATAAATAAAAGGTATATGTTTACATGTACGTGTACAAGCATTTTTCCCTATGAAAGCTTGCAGTTTTGGGTTAAGATTTAATTTTCTATATATAAAATAATAGGCACCCAAAATAATATATACATCTAGGTGTCCATATCTTTACACCCAAGTTTGAATTTCTCTCTCGTAAATTATATTAATTTAGACTATAACTTATATTAAAAGAACACAATTGCAAAGTTCGATAGAGACAAAGAGAAGTGTTAATTTACGTATCATCATGTTGGCCAAACTTCAGACTAGCCATGGCAAGTAAATTCACCACCAAACTTCCTTCTGTAGATACTACAGGTAGGTTGATGCCAAAAAATTTATAAAGGGTGTGCGTGCGCGTCGACCAGTTCCTCCTAAGTGAGTGTCTTGACTTGAGTCGAAGAAGAAAAAGGTTTCATCGATGATTAGAAACAAAGTTTTGGAGGGTGTCCTATTTATATTGGAGATCGAGAGTAGGCTTCTTTTCCGATAGGAAGATGAGGAATACTACTACCATTCTTTCACATATATACACACACATATTCATGATGCCTTATATTATCCGAGAGTCCTTTACTAACTTAAATTAAATGATAAAGGTTGAGCCTTATTGGGTCTTGTCGTATAATTTTTTTAATTTTTTTTTTTTAAAGTAGTACATGATAATTACAAGTTTCTTAATATAGAAAGAAAAAAAAACATAGACATGAAATATTATGAAGTTGTTTTTTTTCAAGAATTAATATATAGTGACATGAAAGAATACAAGTCCTACTCCAATTTATTGTTTTACAAACGTAAGTATTTTGTTGAACCATATTGATCTTATATCATGCACACACAAATCATGAGTTAAGAAATTGCCGAAGTATTATATTGTTACCCTGGTTGTGGCACTCATGTCATGCTTGCCATGAATATTAACTAGGATGCGAATTGGAGAGAAAGGTGACTATCCCTTCCCTAGCCTTTTCCATTGCGATAGAGCTGTCTCTTCT